TATATATATAACTGAATTTAATATCCAATAAATAAATAAATTTTAATGATTTTATTGTTAATAAAATAAAATTGTGTTATTGAAATTTGTACTGTACATTTCAATAACAATGGTACATGTTTAATTTTTTCTTTTCTTTTATTTATTTATTTATTTATTTATTCATTCATTCATTCATTCATTCATTCATTCATTCATTCATATATTTATTCTCATATCGCTTTTCTTTTCTTATTTAGGAGTAAGTCCTTCAATTCTCCACTGGAAATTGGTTCACGAAAAAGTACCATGGGGAATAGTTTTGTTGCTTGGTGAGCATATTTTCCAGATTTGAATTTAGATATTATTTCAATTATTCAATGCTTCAGTAAGATTTTTTTTTTTTTTTTTTAATTTAATTTTATAATTGTAGGTGGTGGTTTTGCAATGGCTGAAGCCAGCAAACAATCTGGACTGTCAACATTGATTGGTCAGGATTTGCTGGTTCTGAAAGCACTCCCACTACCTTTAATTCTTGTAATCATATGTACAGCAACCTGTTTCCTCACTGAAGTTTCATCAAATACAGCAATTGCAAATATTGTTTTACCTGTCCTTGCTGAAATGGTTAGTATACTAAAATACAGGAGGGTTAAATGTATTTGATACATCTCCTTTACTTATGCTATGTTAAAAAAATTTCTAGGCTGTGGCGATGAAGATTCATCCACTCTATTTCATGATGCCAGCAACTCTCTGCTGCACATATGCATTCATGTTGCCGGTTGCCACCCCTCCAAATGCCATTGTCATGGCAGCATCCAACATGAAAACAACTGATATGGTAAGGAATAGTGTAGCCATTCTGCAGATCTGCTTTTTAATGGTGAATAGGGAGGGAAGGAAAGAAGACCAATCATAAATGGAGTATGAAAGAGGGCAAATAGAGAATGGTTCTCAATTCTTCCGAAAATTGAGATCTTCAACTTTGGAACACTAAAAACATAAGATGTTGTTGATGATCATAAATATGACAATTATTTACAAATTTTAGCAGTTTCCACAAATAACTTCATATTTATTAACAGCTTATTTGTACTCGGAGACAAAAGTGATTCACTTTCTGTTTCTTCTTTTCTGCAGATGAAGGCAGGATTTGGAATGAACATTATGTGTCTAATAATACTCTGTCTCTCCTACACCACATTGGGAGTTACAATATACGATTTGCACAATTTTCCTGAATGGGCACATCTTCCAAATGCCACAGCTGCAGCATGAATTTGAACCAAATGGAATCCTGTGTCCAAGTGTGTGGTACAATTATTTAACTCGAGAGACTTGGCGAGATTTGAACCAAGACAGATTTTTATGCTGTGTTTATTGGTGAAGACTTTTGAACAACCTCACCTACTGTTTGTACATATTTTTTAAAGTATTTATTTCATGATTTATTTGAGAGAGTAGTTTTTGAATTGCTCTCTTGTGAAGAAATCAACGAGATTACATTTATCAGTATTTTCAAGTGTTTGGTGCTTTGTGTAAGCTCCTGCACATAGCAAGGACCAATGATTTTTATTTTGTGTGGTTTTAGTACTGATATTTTTTCCTCGTAGTGTAAAGTTATACATGTATACGTGATTTACATCTGTATAAAATGTTTTTTAGTCCTAATTTTTACCATGAAAGTTATAAAGTTTACTTCCCTGAATTCTACATGATCTTCTGTATTTGAAATGCAGAAGACAATGTGTTTTTTTTTTATTGAAGATAGTGTTATATAAATGCATGATGTAACAGCTTACTTGCTGCCTAAATTTCATTACCCAGAGTGTTGTTTTTTTTGTCAGTTTCTGGTCTAAAACATTTTAAAATTTATATGCATTTTTAAAGATGAAATAATTATTTGGTCATTGATGAATGACACTACATGTACCTGTCTTTCTTCTAGTTTTTTTCCTGATTTTTATTTACAAAAGTAAATACTTCTGGGAAATAACTATCTTTTCCATATACAGCATCAAAATGTTAAGAAAACTGTTCATGAAACGCTGTAATGCTGAATAAAATGTTTGAAATACATAAAATTAATTTTTAAAAGAATACTTACTTAAGGGACTCAAAACCCAATCTCCATCATTTCTGTTGGTTCCATTTCCCCATGTTATTTCAATTATTGAAATCAATAAATATATAATTTTGTTTAACAGATTTGTGTTCATATTTAGTTATTGTACTCACACCAATGTGAACAAATGTAGTCCTCTTTCGTGAATTATTGTTTTTTTTAAGAAAGTAATTATTCTGGGATATCTTCAGAGATATAAATAGAAGCTTTAACTCCTTTTAAGACATTTGAGTGCATATCTAGCAAAGGTAGGGATTTTTTGAATTTGATTTAGGCATTAGCCTTTCTCTTCTTTACAAAAAATAATTAACTCTCTGAAAAAGAATGAAATCAGTCTTACTGCAATTTACACTTATGTTCTTTTAACAAATGAGAAACTGTAAAGGGCAGTATTTGGAAATTTAAAACAGATTTCTTAATGCAATAAAAGAAATTGAAGGAAAACTATACAAAAGAAATTTTGTTCAAATAATCCAATGAGCAACAGGTATGTCATTAGTACTTATGAAGCGACATAACTGAAAAGTACTCATTTTGCAGCAGAAGGGTTTTGTCAAACCAAGCAGTTGTTCACAATGTGTGACAATGTTTTTCTCTACATTGCCTGTTTTGTGAACTATATTTAGTCTATTATTAATAAAAATGTCAATTTTCTAAATATGCCTTAACTAGAAAACAACTATGTTTTTGATGACCCATTTCTTGTCCACTAGTAATGTCAAAATATTTGGTACCCACTTGAGTTTAGCTCGAGCCAGCATTGCCACTAATTCTGCTGTGATTCTGACCTGGATGTTCCAGGTTTCAAGTCCCGGTAGTGGATTTTTTACTCTACAATATTGCTAGATTGAATTTGGCCACTGTTTGAAGGAGAGGAGGAGGAGGCTAGCAGCTATGGACAATAATGTTCATGGTTTCTCTGATCGATATCGGGCAAATACTAGAGCAGTACCCTAACAAACAGACCAGGCTCACACATGATCTTTTCTTCCTCAACCTATCCTCTCCCCTTGTGTACATACACATGTATGCAGATATAGGCACATAAGTTGGCATAAAAAGGCACATAACTAATGATAATAAGTTTTTATGTCCAGAAACCTCAATCAGTGTTGGAATTTTTTTATAATGTCTTGCATTAAATGCAATTTTTATTTACCTAAATTGAATGTGATAATAGAATGTGAATGTAGTATACAAAGCTGTGCATTCAGAAGCCTCACAAACTGTAAGATTTTATTTTATGACTATACATTCTTGCTTGTGATGTATAGAGGTAGCCTGTAGAAAAAATAATATAAACAAATAATATTATTTTCATGATTCTTGTTGGCCTTTTTTCACATAATTTTTATACTTAAATTATCAATCAATTATAAACAGATGTTCGAGTCTGCAAAACAAATATAATAACAATTTATATAATTAGTTGTTTTTTTTGGCTTCATATGGCTGTTTCCTTCAACCAGATATTATGCATTTTGAAAAACTGTGGATCGTGAATTTCAATTGTAACAGTCTGCTATATTTAAAAAAATATTTAATAAAAAGTGGGTATCTTAATCATTTATTCTACATTCCATATAAACATTATTACAAACACGGTCAAAAAATATTTATTTTAATTGAAATATTATCTATATTAAGTATTGTTTGTGTGAGAAAAAGATTTAACTCGTGATCATGGAATTGGCTTTGAGTAGATTTTTTTCCATTGCAACAAATTGCAATGCTCTGATTTAGCTTTAAAACATGTCAATTGGTACTTCCACTATTAATGTGGTGTGAAATTAGTTCTAAACCATTTAATAAACTGGGCATTGCAAGGAACCTATTAACAATTTAGAACATCTTTCCTTTATTATAAGGCTTATGGACATTACAAATAATAAAACATAAGCTGTTTTAACACCATTAACTTTTGTTCATTACTAACCTAGAATTTAGCCTCCCGCTATTAACTTCAATATGCTGATGAATTGGCATACTTGTGTTTTAAAAGAAATACAGTGTTACATTTCGGTCACCCTGCCTTAAAAGCAATACAATTGTTTACCGTTTCTGTCATGTTGTACCATACACAGTTGTTTGCCCTTCATGTATTTAAAAGTTATTTTAGCAAAATTTATTTGTTGCATTACATTTTTGTGTAAATGAAACATTTTGAGTTCTTTATCACAACTATATTTTTGAATAGCAATCAGAAGCCAAGAATAATAAATGGTTTGACACAAAGGGGTAATTGCATTTGTTCATTCATGGTTGACTGATGATTACACTGATCTGCATGATTCTGGGGTTTTCTTCAAAATACTACTTCTTTATAAAATACACCATTCCAATTTTGAAAATATAAACGATTTTTCTCTATAACGTACCATTTTGCACAATTACTACTTTTATGATCAATGTATTGGATGAATCTAGTAAGTTACTTCTGTTGAAAGCAAGCAAATATGAAATTTGTTATTGAAATTGTTACATTTGGCAACTCTGTATCATGCAACAATACTTCTCTTACATTTACATCAATTTAATTGTTTATTCAGAAACCCATCAAATGATCAAAATTCTGAGAAAACTGAGGAAAAGTCTCCCAATTTATCTTATTTCAAAATATTTGTAATTTTAAAGCAGTTGATAAATGAATATTTTTTCATGTAAATAAGCACAAAACTATGTGACTATCCTCTTGGAGCAATAATCCGCCGCTAATGCGTCTATTAAATTTTGGCGTTTGACGGGTTTCTGAAATAAACTATTCAATTCATGTTGAGTATACTATCAGTTTTCAGTTAGTGAGCATTTACATTTCTGAGTGGATGCTTTATTTGCTCAGTGTGTCTTGGGAAATAATATGCCTTCCAGAAAATGTAAAAATAATCCTGTGGCAAGAAAAAGAAGATTGAATATCACAAAATTTCTCAAAAAGGCATACCATGCCTACTTTCAAATAAAACTAGGATATTTGGCAAAAGATGGGCTCCCAAAAAAGTGTCATACTTGTGTTGAACAATTAAGGAAATGGAAAATGGAAATTAGAATGCCTTATGCTGTTCCAATGATTTGGCATGAGCCTCGAAATCATGTAGATGATTGTTATTTTTGTGTCTGTGACATTGCAGATTAATATTAAAAAATCCTGAAAAATATTGTTTATCCAAATCTCTAGGCAGTAAAAAGGCCTGACGCGCATCAACCAGATTTTCCTGTGCCTTCTCCAACAGAAACATTTGGAAACAAGTCATCTTAAGGCTCTGAAACACTCTCTGAAGACAATTGCAGTGATTCAAATACAGTTCAAGAAAAGGACATCAAGCAGTCTCAACAGTTCACGTTAAATGAACATAATGATTTGGTAAGGGACTTTGGTCTTTCTAAGGCTGCTGCTCAAATTCTGGGATCAACACTAAAAGAAAAGAACTTCCTAGCTCCAGGAACATCATTTGCAGGGTAAAGATACCGGGAAGAGCAATTTGTCCCATACATCTGTCAAGAAGAGAATCTTATCCATGATATTCCTAGTATAGTGAATGCCTTGGAAGCTGAAAAATACATTACATGTGATTGGAGGCTTTTTATAGAATCCTCTAAAGAGAGTATGATAGCTGTTCTGTTATATAATAGGTACAAATATTCATCGATTCCTATTGCTCATTCAGTTCTTCTTAACAAAAGATACGAGAACATGAAATTAGTTCATTGTATAGAAAGTGAAATATGAAGAGCACAAGTGGTAGGAGTGTAAAGATCTTAAAGTTTATAGGTATGTATCTTCATCAACCGCCTGGATTCACGAAGCTGTTATATTTCTTATATTAATGAGACAGCAGAGCACAATCTGACTAGTGTACCAAAAAACATTGGAAACTGAGAGAGAATATTTTTCCAGCATTCAAAAATATACTATATGACAGTCTAGTGAACCCAAAAAAGGTTATCCTTCCTCCTTTACACATAAAATTGGGGCTTATGAAACAATTTGTTAAGCCTTTAAATAAGGATGGTAACTGTTACAAAAATATATATGCAAGACAATTTCAGAAATATCTGATGCAAAGATTAAAGAGGGACTATTTGTTGGACCACAGATAAGGAAGTTGAAAAAGATACCATATTTGAAGATAATGACACATAGCAAAAAACAAGCATGGACGGCTTTCAAGGAAGTCATTAAAATCTTCTTGGGAAATCACAAGGATCTAAATTATAAAAATATTGTAAAATATATGCTTGAAAAGTTTAGACTGCAAGGGTATAAAGAGTATTAAGGTACATTTCGTACATGCCCACTTAGATTTTTTCCAGAAAATCTTGGTCGTGTCAGTGAGGAGCAGGGTGAAAGATTTCACCAAGACATCAAGGAGATAGAACAACGTTTTCAGGAAAGGTGGGATGTACGTTAACGAACTATTGATGGACACTGATAAGAGATTAAAAAAAAAAAAAAGAAAAGAAAAAAAGGAGAGAGAGAATAAGAAAATGTTATTAATGTTCATATAAATGAGATTACATGATCACAGTGCTCATACATTGTTTCTATTAAATATTTTTGTTGATTTGTTGTATTTAAAAAAATAAATGTATTTGAGTGGAAGGTAAAGGGATACTTTTATTTTTTCGTGTATTGTATAAAAATTACACATGATGGAGCAAAACGGACTTCAAATTTATATTCAGCATGGTCATGTTAAAATTCTTCACCTATTAACATAAACACTTCAGCCAAAAAGTTAAAATTTTCAGACCAGTGTTATTTGTCTTCTATTACAGTATACTACTTTTTTTAATGTTGTCAAAACTAAATGCATTTATAAGCTATTTAATGCACTATTGTTTAAGTGTATTCATTAAGTTCAGAAGTTGATTTTGATGGATTTGAACAAATGCTTAATATGGTTCAATGTGACTGACAATATACTATGTATATCGAGTAATTAAAAATTCCAATATCATAGTCGGATCTGTTGATGCACTTAATATCAGACAAGTTAATTTCCTAGACTGTCTGATTTGATTATTATTTTAGAAAGATGGTCCAGAATTTATTTTGAGAGTCAATTTTTCATTTTCAAATTTCAAAATTGTATTAATAAATTTAAAAATTGACTGTCTCAAAATAAATAAATTATGGACCATGCACCCAAAATGATAATCACAGACAAATTTGTAAACTAAAGAATCAACTCTATAGAAAATATCTATGTTGCAAAGCAAAAACATTTAACAAAATTATTCAATGTATGTATTCATTTATGGGTAACAGCATTAAGCAACTGTTTCAAAAAACCTCACCTACCATGCAAACAGAGGTTCAGGCACAACCGTTTTGTAAAAATTATACAGAAATATTTACAAAAATGCATTCTTTATTTATGTGTATTATATTTCTATATATTATTTATATACTATTTCATTGAACTTAGCAAATGCAGCCTCATATAAGAGGAGGCAAATACGTTTCTGAACCTCTTTTCCATTAAACTTTATTAATGTGCCATTTTATAGATTAATAAATAAAACATACATTGAAAATGAAAAGATAAAACTAATAAAAATACTTGATTTTGAGTTGAACTATTTACAGTGTTGCCAGATGACTTGGGAAAGAATCCTTCAAATTATAACGTTAAAATAGGCAAAATCAGGGATGAAACATATTTATAAAAATTAAATGTTTTATTACATAGGGGGACCTTCGAGGAGTTATGATACTTACACCAACCACTAAATCCTGTTTTAAATATTATTGTAATGTACTAATAATTTAAATATTACTGTATGTTAATGTAAATATTTCTGAGTTTAATTAAGGATTCATTTACATTGTTGTAAGATAACAATACATATTCCTTTAAGGAACACTTTTGTTTACTAATGATATTATAAATTCAATTGTTATTTAATTACATATTGTTAAGAATTGTTATCCTATAACTGACCTTGAAACTTGAGTAAATGTATATGTAATACATTTTTTTATTATTTTTCTTTATCTTGCTTAAAGAATTATTAAACTGACTGAATACATTTTGCCTATAGCGCTTGTCTGCAAAATAATCACAAACTCTCACCTAATGAGGCATAATCACAATACAGCATATTTGGAATGATCAAAATATTAGATGTGTCAAATTAAAAAGTAACATAAAATTTGAATGTCTTTACCCGACAAAAAATCATGAGTGAAAAAGGGGGAAAAATCAGAATTTTTATAAATAAGTATACAGAATACTTATTTACAAGGGGGCAGATTTTGATGACCTAAAAGATTGCCAAATATTATCAATAAAATGCTCTTAAAATGTTTCAAAAATGACCTAAACGCAAAGAAAAATTATGTTAAAAATTTCATCAAAACCAGTTTGGATGAACAACTAAAGATGTTGGATTTCCTGTAATTCCTGTAATCAAGGCTTCATTCTTTTGTTCAAGTGACCCCGGCATGCTAACTTTTGGTTGGACTGTTCTTTACCAGAAAATCACTGTCTTTAGTTAACGCAAAATCGTCTGATCCAAAAATGGCTGCGATACAGTGCCCCAGGAACTGATTAAGTACATTAAGTCCTCACAAAGGCTGACATTACAATTTCTGGGCAAAGAAATGGAATAAGCTACTCAGGAATTCTGTGGAGAATATTTATTTTGTAAATATTACTTGAAGCAAGTACAATTAAAAGAATATTAAAATCGATGAAATCAGCGGAAAATGCTTTAAAAAGGTCGGGAAAAGTTAAAAATTATTACTTGAAATCTACAAAAAATGCATTCATTAATATCCACCCCTACTTATTTACATCAAAAACATTGAATTTGATCAATGAAAATATATTTATGCATTTAATAATGAATATTAAATATAAATATCATAAATATATCAACTGCTCTATGTAATGGACATATTGTTGGACAAAATGAAAATGAAGGTAAGGCACTTAAATAATTTTTACACATTTGTAGATCATATATTTTATTTCATTATAGACACGGATATTTTATGATCAAAATATACAGCTAAATGCAAAAACCCTTATGCTAATTGTATAAACTAAGATTTAAATATCCAATTTCGACATTTGCATTTTATGCACATCTTATCAACTTCAACTGCTTTAATTACATTACAAAGTTACATGAACTTGTGAAAAATGTTGAAGCGCATGAGAAAATTATTTTAATTTGAAAATGATTAAAGAGAATTATTATATTATTACAATTGTTCTAAAAAGTAAAAATTTTAGCTGTTATAGACAAATGTATTAAGGAAAAATCTATTTATATGCTTGCATTTGAACTGTAATACAAATTACCTTTTTACTGATACTTATTTCCCCTTTCAAATACCTACACTAAAGAGATACTTTGTACTTCTTTATACAAATAATTAAGATCCAAATATCAAACTGCTAATATTTGGGTTTCTTAAACTCATGTTCAGCACCAGAAGTGCCTGGAACTTTGCGTTTTTGAATAATATTTTGAATCTTCTGCCATTCCCTATCTAATTCAGCTTTCTCATTCTTCTCTTTGTGATACTTTCTGGTTCGACGGCCATCTGCCATCTTTACACCATATTGGAAAGCAGCCTTTGGAAGTGCTTCCTTACTGTTCATATAATCACTGTATTCTTCTTGGGTATCGAAGTCCCATCTGCCAATTGGACCTTTCTTGTTTCCTAGGTCCATCTTTGTGTAATCTACTTCATCATCAGAATCATCAATAGCATCCTGCATTTCCTCTAATCCTGGATAGCATTCAGCATAACCTTCTGGTTCAGCTGCCAGACGTGTAAGCAGTTGCTGAGCTCTGCTCTGATTTGAAGCTGCAACATCTCGCTTCAGAGTTACCTTGTCAGAATCTCCCTTACGCATTTCTGGTTTAGCCTGTTTATTTGACCAAGTATCATCACTAGGCTTTTCGAAATATGACCCATGACGTTTATCTTTACTTTTATCAGTACTCTCTTGCTTGGTCATAGCTGGAATATAATCTCCAATGTCTCCATAAATACTTTCATCTTGCAATTTACCACCTTTGCCATCAGTACGTCCCTTGTCCTTCTTCTTTGATTTTTTACTTCTGCCACCTTGACGTAAATATGAAAGAATCTGTGCTAATTTGTTAATGACAATATCATTTGTTGTAAGGGTAGCAGTAGCCTCCAAACTAGGTACTTCCACTCTACTACGAATTAACGTTGTTGGTATGTCACTTTCTGCAAATTCATCTTCCAAATCAATGACATATGCCATGCGCCCGGGAGAAAAAAGATCATTTTTTTCAGGTGGCTTCAATTTAAACAAAACTCGATAAATACTGCGACCAAGTTTTGTTTTAAATTGCATTTCTTCTTCTTCATCTTTTTTCTCTTTCTTTGTTTTCATCACTTTGTCCATCTCTTCTTTTTCTTCTTTCTCCTTTGCTTGGATTTCACTACGTACTTTTTGAAGAAGTGCATAATCTAAACCTTTCACCAAGTGAGTATGCTCCATATCACCACCCAAGAACTTTGATTCTTGAATCATCTGTCTTCGTCTTTCTGCAGCATCCATTCCAGATTTAAGATCTGGAGCCACAGCACGATACCCACTAGCTGTGGATAGAGGATCTTCTGCCTGATAATCTGGATTGGCACCATCTCTTCTTTCACCTGCCCTGTCACGATATTTTTTGGCCAATTCTGCCATTTTATCATCTTCTTGTTTTTTGAGTTTGGCATAAAAACTTTTTTTCTTTCTTCTACGCTCTGCTCTATCTTCGCCATCATTATCTTGAGTAGAAGGTGTAACATCTCGAGCTGGAGCTGACGGTAGAGATGATGGAACAGAAGAACGGGGAGTCATCAACAATTTACGAAAATCATCATTTGTCAGTCTTTGAGATCTATCACCATGATCCACTCTTCCATCATCACCCCCACCGGAACCATATTCGTTTTCAGGCATGGTTTCACAAAATAATAACTACCAGACCTTACAAGTGTAATTTTTATAGATCGAGACTCACTTTCACACTTTAAATAACGCTAAAAGCATCAAGTATTACACGACATACACATCAGTTTCTGCAAATGCCATAATGAAATCCAAAGAGTAACAAGATGCAAGATATCAGCTGGAAACCAGAGAATTTCATCGCTGGGAACAGCTGGGAATTTGGAACCAAAGAGCATTGAAGAGCAATCTGCCATGCTGGGAAGCTCCACAAACTTTCGTTATTCTTTGTCGGAGAAGTAAAAATGTCAAATAAAGTGTATTATTCATTACAAATAGCAATCATAAAGTAATTAAGAACAAGACCAGTGCTTAAAGGTGACACCTAAAAAGTATAATTTATTTAAAACTGAACTTACATTTACAAAACTGTAGACAAAGAGGATTACTGAACGGAGTGTGGTCTCTATTCCTTTCTTTTGAAATATTTTCTTGCTCTTTAGCGAAAATTTGATAAATAATTTTCCATTCAATTATTTTATGTTATAAATGACAATAAATTTGGAAAATAGAAGAAATAAACAATAGCCCATTACAATAGAACAAAAACTTTAATTTATTTAGCGTAGTTGTGTCAACATGGTGGCCTGTAAGTAGGATTTACTTTGCTCAGTCAGCTTTCTTCATTAAAAATTATTTATAATCCCCTAAATATATGAATATAAGTATTAAAATTAGCATATTTATTGTTTGTGTGTATTTGTTATTTACATTTATATGGTTTGAAGGGTTCAAATGACTTCATGGATTACCGATTCGAAGATAGCCTCTTGTGTAACAAAAACCACTTGGTTTAAGCTATATGCAAATATCGATATTGTTTTCAGTATTGTCACGGCATTTTAATATTTTTAATTGATTTACAAAACTTGTTTCCATAAGTAATGCATTTAAATGGTTATTAGTTGTTTCTTTTTGCCTTCGAAATTGCTTACGTGTTGTTCTTTGACAGCTGCTCTTAGTCCAGAAACTCTTCAGAAGTTCCGCAATAATTTTTATGCGGATCCCAAAAATATCTTAGCTCAGAATGTCTGCACGCGAGTAGATCCTCTGGAAGTATGTCTTAACCGTAAACAACTGGAAGAAACCCAACATGTGTTTACATACAAGGCAAGATAATTATTTGGTGAATACATAAGTGGAATAATTTTGTTAATAATTGTGTTTAATTTTCTGTCCATATTTTATTATTTATTAACAGATCGAAAATGAAGGAAAACCCATTACGAACCAAAAGAATTCTGGCCGTTGTTGGATATTTGCAAGTCTGAATGTTGTTCGAATTCCATTTGTGAAGCAGTATAATTTAGATGAATTCGAATTTAGCCAAGGTTATCTATTCTTTTGGGATAAGGTAAAGTTGACAAAAATTTTAAGTCGGGTGTTGATTCTGTATGTAGTTTTTTCAGTTTTAATTTGTGTTTTTTGTTTTTTTTAAGATTGAACGCTGCAATTACTTTCTCAACAATATAGTAAAAACAGCTCGCCGGGGAGAAGAAGTTGATGGAAGACTTGTGTCGTTTCTGTTGCATGTAAGTTTAAATTACGTCATGAGTATTGAGTTTTCTGTTTCATGGTCTATAGAAAATACTTAATCTTTGTTCTAGGACCCAACTTGTGATGGTGGCCAATGGGATATGATAGTGAATCTAATAAATAGGCACGGACTTGTTCCTAAAAAATGCTTTCCAGAGTCCTACAGTTGTGAATCGAGTATGCGAATGAACGCTGTTCTTAAAAGCAAGGTTACACTTCAAATTTTAAAGTTATTTGACATCTTTTTTCATTAAAAAAATACAATGCCTTTCAGTGTTTTCTTACATTATTGGTCTGGTTATAGTTACGAGAGTATACGAAAGTTCTACGTGACCTCATTTCTGAAGGTGCCAGAGATGTTGACCTACACAGCAAAATTGAACAGCAGATGGCAGAAGTGTATCGAATTGTTGGAATTTGTTTGGGAATTCCTCCAGAAACCATTACCTGGGAGTACTATGATAAATCTAAGCAGTATAATTGTGTGGGACCAGTGACTCCTCTTGACTTCTACCTCAAATATGTGAAGCCATATTTCAATGTTGATGATAAGGTAACAATTTGTTAAGTAGATTTCTTAGGGGGTCGTCCATAAATTATGTAATTCTGAAGAGAGTGGGAGGGGGTTTGAGGCAGTGTTAAGCTGTTAAGAGCAGAGGGTGTTAGTTTAGTGTTACATCACACTGATACTGTGTTTTTTTTTTTTTTTTTTCCGTTTCCTATTTTAACATTTGCTGAAGTAGTTCATTCTATTCAACAGTATAACACTAAAATGTTGAAATATTAACAAATTAAATAAAAAAAATAATGAATGAAAACATGCTCATTAATAATTGTTTTAATTAATGAAAATATTTTTCATGATATATTGATCGAATTTATTATATTACAAATAAAATTTTTAAAACTGATCTGTAGTATCTTCTAGAATCCAAGGAAATTGGTGCAGTAGATTCTTTCCCACACGTCCTGTACAAAGTCATTAGCACTGGCTTGTCAGAAATTCTCCTTCTTAATAAACTTAAGCATCCTTCATTTACTAAAAAATAAACTTATTGTTAGGTGCAGTTAGTATTTGCCAACGTATTCTGATGTACATTTTAATACATAACAAATAAAAACAATACAAAGTGTTGTAACAAGTATATAATTTATTTTTAATGTTTGTAAGTATGGAAGGAGTGTCACAAGATTATGTAATGATTTAGGTTGATGGTGATACACAGCTGAAAGTGGTATTTAAAATACTCCAGATGTGTGTTATGTAATTTATGGATGGTCCCTAAGCCTTCTGAAACAAAGCAACAAAACTTCATGTGTTTCAATAATGTTTTATGCCTTAAAGGTATGTCTGGTAACAGATCCAAGACCAACTAACAGCTACGGTCGTGCGTATACCGTAGATTGTTTGGGAAACGTGGTTGGTGGTCGACCCATAGTGTACAACAATCAGCCTGTGGAACTTCTTATGAAATTAGCAGCAGAGTCAATTAAGACTCAGGAGCCAGTGTGGTTTGGCTGTGAGGTCAGCAAACGTTTTGCTGGTAAACAAGGCATTGAAGATTTGAAAGTGTAAGTTAAAAAGAAAATAGTATGAGAAGTATTTTCGTTTCTAAATGTTTTATTTAGGGTTTCAATGATTTAAATCAAGTGAATATTTTTTATCACTGATTTAAACCGTTTTTAACAAATTGTTATAATTAAGAATTATAATTGTCACCACCCTGTCAGTATATGTATCAAAATGGGTAATCAGGCCTAAGAATCTGTTCAAAGAATTGCTGGTCTTGATAGATTAGTGGTAAGAGTAACTGGGCATAAACCAGGAAGCCTGGGTGTGAATCCCAGTAGGGGTGACAATTCTTTGAACAAATTTAATTATTAAGAATTATGAAACACATTCAGAAACACAGGAGTAAGATATGTAGCTAAATTTTGATTCAGAATGATAAGAATTAAAAAAAACAACTAGAGAGGTCAAAGTAATAATGATAAACTTTTACATATTATTCTTAGGGTTTAAATATTTGTATAAAAACAAGTTTGGCAGTCTTTTCAATTCCCAAAAGAGTGGTCCTGGAGGTAAATCCTGCTTTTCCCCAGGGGGAGAAGGAAATTGCTATTCTACACCACCTAGGTTAAGCAAATTCTTACTTACAGGCTATTATTAAGCAATATCCTCCATTTTAAGTTGTTGGACTATAAACTAAAAATCCATTCTTGCACCCATCTCACATATTTGTGGTTGAGTGTGAGTTCTCTTTTTAAAATAGTTTTTGAAAATTCGTTCTCATAACTCCGTACTCCTGAAACACTGTTTTTATGAATAGCATTTATCAATAGATAGACATCCAAAATATGTAGCCTAAAAGTATCAAGATGTACGCCAGAGATTTAAAAGTTCATCATCATTCATGAGTGATTTAAAATTATTTTTAATACTTTCTTTAAAAATGAGTTTCAGAAATCTTAACTGGAACGATTCAAAGAAAGTGCCACAGAATAAATTGCTGGAGACCTCATTATCAGATGCCTTTGAGGGACTTGTGGGAATACTAGTTTTTGGTCTTCATCTAAATATCACTGCAGTTCATACAACTTAGTAATATTCGTTTTTGTGTATAGTTATTTAATTCATAAATTCAACAAAAGTCAAATATTTTTTCACTCAACAATTACTCATTATCTTAAAAAACAAATAAATGAGAAATTCAAGCTGTGCAATACTTTGCATTAAAAATAACTGTACAAGTGCTAAGTGTATCCTAAAACATATAGTAATGAAAAGAGGCCACGTCTGTAGAACAAAACACAAGAACAATTAAAACACATCATGTTATGGATTTAAATAAAAAAAATCACCCTCATAAGTAGCCCTTCTATCATGATTTTCCTTTTTGTACTTTTATTTTTCAATATTTTTACTGGATCATAAATATTAGATCTATTAGTGGATCTCTTTAATAGTACTAGTTATTGACAAATACTCATTTTTATAAAAAAGAAGAAAAAAATCAAATAAAAGGGATTTAGAAATATATTAGGGGGGCTTAGGGATAGATTAGAAAGGGTGTTTGGATAGATTCCTTTGTTGAGAAATTTTTAATTGTATTGTTAGAAAAATTTATGAACATGGTTTAGATACTAAGGTAGTACTGAAGAAATGTTAACAATCTGCTTGTGGGATGTTAATTTTGTTATGCTAATTTTGAAATAACAAATTGTGTGGCAAGTTAAAGACGGCAACAATTCCATCTGGTCATAAACATTGGTATTACGTTGGAAAACAGGAAAGCGCAATGAATTATTTGTAAAATCAAAAATAATCTATTCACATGAATAGTAGTAAAGTGATTTATTTTAGATGTTTTTGATTTAATAGTATCATTTAAAAAATACTTTCATAAACATTTATATCAAAGATTGTTTTAACATATATTTCTTTTGTTCTCTAATGCGTGGTATGGAGTTGTAAATTTAAAATTTTGTGAATGAATCTTTCAGACTTGGTTTTTTAGGTGAAATTATATAGTGAGCTCTTTTGATCAATTTAGTTTTTTTCTTTGGATTTTGGTTTTTCAACGGTATGTTTTTTTCCCCTTTGTATCTTTCCTGAATCATTGACCTTCAAATTCTGACTGTTGTTCATGAACAGTAAGTAATCATAGGTTATTGTAGTTGAGGCAAAGAGTAACATTGAGTTATTCTTGCAAACTGGTTATTTTTCCACCCTCCGTTTGTAATCCTGTAAGTAATGTGGTTTGTTTTGTGTAGCTTGTACTATTGTTGACAGTAAATTAATAATAATAATAATAATAATAATAATAATTTTGTTTTTATTATTATTGTTATTATTATTATTATTATTTGTTTTGCAAATTGGTCATCATCCCACCAGGGCTCAGACATGATTATCCGGGTAGGTGCTTTTTTGTAGCAGGGAATCAGCATTTTAATGCTGATTACATTTTTATACCCCAGGGTCGTTAGCCCTGAAGGATGGGTTGAAACGATGATGATGATGATGATGATGATGATGATGAATGATATAGGCACACATCAACCTACAGGGACACACAACATAACCATGCCCTGGGGCAGATCATTATTATTATTATTATTATTATTATTATTATTATTATTATTATTATTATTATCATCATCTAATTTCTCTTTTTTTGGGGGGAGGGGGTAGCAAGTTAGCCTTCTACAGACCATGTGAAAGTGCACTTGCACCCTGGAAGTATGCACATGAATTTATTTGGGGGGGATGAGCATTTCTGCTGAGTCTACTTTTTAAACTTCAGGGTTGTTAGACCTGGGGAATAAGGTATGGAAATGATAACGATGAAACATACAATCACAAGTATACAGAGATGCACTCAAATAGCAAGAGGGGATTTGAAATATTTATTGACTCATACAAAATGTGCTCTAGATATCTACTTCCACTTGTTTTAATTTTATATCATGTATAAAGTTTTCAGTATTTATTCACCATTCTTCGCATTGTTAAAATAAAAACTTACTTTATTTTCAGACATGACTATAAATTGGTGTTTGGTGTTGATGTCACTCTGGGAATGACCAAAGCAGATAGATTGCTGTATGGTGAGTCAATGATGACTCATGCCATGGCTTTTACAGCGGTTTCTGTTGATGTAAGTTTACAAGTAGCAGATAGCCTTAAAATGTATGGAGTCATTGAGAAGGTTAAAACAAGAAAGAAGAGTACAGTATTTTAAAGTAGAAAATAGTTTTGAAATAATGCTTTTTTAATAATTATAAATATTTTGTAGTTTCAGGGGGATTAATTCAAAGCCTGTTTGATTATTCTTTGTGATTGAAAGTAAATTTACTCCTGCTTCATCATAAACTACTGATGATTCTCAAGATGTCTTTGTTTTCAGCGTTATGTAGTCTTTGAAAGAAATTATTGGATTTGATTGCAATATTTGGGTTTGCTGTGGTAGTATTATTACCAAATTAGTTTCAATAAATAACATGTAATCAACATGTTGATGGCTTTTATTTAACAAAATGAGCAATAACTAATACTGAAAGATGTCTTTACAAATATTTTTAACTAAACAATTGGTAATAATTTTATTACTACATTCATGATCTAATCCAACAAACTTTCACAAATGGCGGTAATGCAGAGGGGCGTTCTCCATGGCAACCAAATACTCATCTGAGAAATGTTAAATTTTTGCCCTTGAAGAGTCCGGTTTTCTTAATTATTTGTGCCGACATGGGGAGCGTCAGTTAGTCAAGTAATGGCAGTCAACACTGAAATTCAATAGTAAAAGATGCACGTTAATATGAAAACTTGTAAAATATTAGTTAAATACTGTAATTTTTGGAGAGTGCTGTATGAAGAGCAACACTAAAGCATTGGCTTCTCTGGATGTTTACTCACTTTTCACCTAGAACCTTTTCATGTCTTAGCATTCTCATTAATTCGACATTTTCAATATTAACACTGCTTCTTCAAAAGCCGAAAAAAATGATATTTCAAATATTAATTTTGACTAGATTAGTAGATTAGTTTTTGTTAAAACATTTTTTTTAAGTTTGGAATTAAAATTTTCTTCAAAGTTTTATGAAGAAAATCTTTTTTAAACTTCAAAGCAGAAAGTTGTTGAAAAATTCAACCTGGGATATAAGTGTAGAAGTCCTGAAGAGGATTTCATGTTGAAAATTTCTTAATATAGGTCAGAATTATTGTTCTAAACTTTTTTGTTTCACCTAGAGGTAAGTTTTATGATCTTATCCAGCTATGTAGATGCTTTAAAGCAGAAAGATCTCAAAACCATAAAAAAGACTGAGAAATTGCTAAGAAAAGAGATTCAGTTGGCTAGCGGGTGATCTGGCTAAAGAAAAATAGTCCCTTTTTTATGTCTGAAATGTCCATCAAAACCATAGAGAAGATCTTGTCTTTTAGAGATACTTAAATTTTGCCCAAACACTAAGACATCTGTTATTTACACTTAAAAAGTTATTGAAATGTGAACACAATAGCCTAAAATAACTAAGATTTTTTAGAAATAAAAACAAAACGATTTTATCCAGTTATGATTTTAAAAAAAGTTATGGTTTTTGTTTCACTACTTTTCACAGTTTTTTAGAGGCATGTCGATAAATTTTCTACTTTAAATTTTAATGTCACCTTATTTGACTGCTACAATTACAAAGAAGTTGTAAGTTTTTGTTATGTGTTGTTAGTGTATGTGGAGAAGAGATTGAATAATTTGCTACTTTCAGTATTCAGGTAATATTCGGTACATTGTGCTGCAATATATTCGACTTTTGTTCTGTTTAATTCTTTATTACACCAGTAAAGTTCTCAAAGATCAAGAATTAAATCATGACAAATCATTCACTAAAGTTTGCAATGAAAAATATTTTGTATGTTATACACAGTTGTTTTGAGTTGAAGCAATGGTTTTTGCCTTTAAAGTAAGAAATGTGTAATTTTAATCAAATGTATTAGTAGCATTTAGTATCGTAGTTGTTTGACACAGGCTTTTTGTTTATTTTTTTCAGGCTGAAGGAAATCCAGTCAAATTTCGTGTTGAAAATTCCTGGGGTGATGAACGGGGGGAAAAAGGATACCTCATCATGACAAGTGATTGGTTTAAGGAGTTTGTTTTTGAAGTTGTTGTAGACCGTAAGTTTGTACCAAAGGATGTACTAGATGTTTTTCAACAGGAACCCATAGTTTTACCTGCTTGGGATCCTATGGGAACTCTGGCCCATTAAATCTACCTGATATAAGCCCTTGTGTTCTCAAACATTGAAATGCCTCCTTATTTTGTTTGCCTTTTTTGAAGGGAAATGAATATTTCCGTACCTTAGGAAAAGCATAGACCATTAATATTGTACTACACCATAGATAAAAATCACAGTTGATTTTGTGTGGTAATGTGCGAGTTCAAATTACATATATTCTTACGGTTTTCATTAGGGCTGTGCTTTGATTAAGATAATATCATGTAACTTTGACAATTGATTAATCAGTCACTATTTTTTAATAATGTGGTTAAAATTAACACATACATGTATATAGGCAGTTGAAAATTAGATCAGTTTTGACCATGTAAATACATCTTGAATTTCACTATATTTTAAAAATACAGATCTGGTGATTAAACTAATGAATGAAAGGGTAATCCGTAATTTGTTGCTTTCAGATAAATAATAATTCCACAACAAGGTTTATTTTCAATTTCAGAAATTTGATAACTTTGGGGTATAGTGTTTTCAATATTGATTAAATAATTGCCATTACTGTGTGCAAATCATAATATTTATCCTTAAAAGGCAAGAGTTGCCTTGACTTATTAATCAATCATTAAAGTTATATAAAAATCAGTGAGTACATGTACAAAACTGAATGCATGCATTTCTAAGAGCTTGAAAAGAAAGATGCTTCATATATGTGTGAATGTTTTATTTTTGATACATTTATTCAAGATATTGCATAATTCTTAAAAAAGAGCTCATGTTGAACAAAGATTTTTTAAATTTTCGTTATGTTTTTATCTTGATTTCTTTTCTGAATTATTTAAAGTATCATAATTATCATATAATACAATTAAACATTTCTAGGAATGTGAAACCTCAGCAATGCATTTGGACCATCTTTTGATATTTTTCTAGAATATTTTTGCTTCTCTAGAGCTAAACTTAATGTTTAATGTTTTGTTTATAATTTATGCCTTTCTGCTATTAGTACTTTGAATCTCTCAAAGCTTTCTGTTAATTCAAGTAGTTTGAGCTTTAACAGATATAATCAGAGATCTTTTTAATTACATACAAATTAAACAAAATGTGAAGATGATTATTACAGTTTTGGTGATGATGATATTTGTATTTTAAAACTATCATGCTCAACTACCATATGTCTGGAAGAAATTTAGTTTTCATTGTAACCAAGGACCTTGCAGTTGAAATACATGCAGGGATATGTGGGGTGGGTGGAACAAGAATGTTTTATATCTTTCACTGTTATCCTTCAATGGAGTCATTACCTAGCACCCTGATGAGAAACGAAACCAAAAAGAAAAAAAGGGGGGAAAAAAGAAGAAATAACTAATAATATACTCTTGTTATTTACTCACATCCATGTTCTTTAATAATGTTTCATTGCATATCTTTTAAAGAAATTTTAAGTTTTTTATAGGCAACTTTTTCCAATTAATATAATTTTTAAAAGAATAAAATCTGCTCATAAATTTAATTTTATTAAAAAATGTCCTACTTGTGGATTAAAGGTACTGTTGTGACGATTGTTGTAATATAGCTTGAGAATTACATTCTGTACACTTGAAATATTTTTCAGAATGGTGCTATTTAATTTTTATTGCAGCTGCTTCAGTTCATAAATTTGATTGATTGCTCTTGATAAATTTGTCATTTGTTAGTTAAATTTTTTTATAATATGCAGTGACATTTTACAAAATTAGTAATGCATCAACACTTCAGTACTATGTTCACACATCAGAGATATCACTGATGAATTATTTTAACTTAATAAACTGTCACAATTATTTTTTTGTGATGTGAAAAAAATGTTGAATGCTTTTTCTCTGTAAAATTTTGTATATTGTCTTATTTGTGATTCAAAATTACATAAATATTTTTATGTGTGAGATTCAAAACTATACCAGAAGCATTGTGTTCTTGAATTGAAAAACTAACTTGATTAAAATTGTCAATGGTTTCTGATATTGTTTGGAAACAATTCTGTAAGTTTTTATTCTCTTGGTAGTGCATTTATGAAATAAACAAAATCATTGCAAAATCAGCCTCTTATAATTTACTAAAAGCTGATTCAACATTTTCTTGCTTACTTTTAAGTGTATATTAACTCTGCATTGAGGATTATGGAATCATTGTACTACTTAATCCAATAAATATTTGTAATTTAGTTCTCTTAAATGAATTTATGTGGAGATTATAAATTCTACAGCAAAAGTAAACTAGGTATATTGACTGGCGTTTGGTTGTTTAAAGAACCCTGGAGGATTCTGAGGTAGAACTTATTTATTATGTTCAGAAGTAAAAAAACAAAAACTGGATCTGGAGTCTACGTTAATTAACAAATTGTAGAGAAGACCAACGGTTTTGACATTCTCAAAACATGTTTCTAAAAAGTAATTACAAAATGTTGAATGCATTAAAAAAAATCCAAATTTTGTTGTCTCAGTTTTGGATTCATTATTTTTAATGAGGGGTAGTTAACAGGGAAGAGGAGTAGCTGAGTATTCAATAACAACCTGCTTTTTTTCCGTAACAGTATTAACGGTAATTGGGTTTTGTAGTTATCAATTATTTTCTGAACTTCTGTTCTCTTTTCATTTTTTAACTGTCATTTAATTCGCTTTTGAGAGCGAATGTCCGTTATGATGTGCCATTCCCCCTGGCAAAGTTTGTTTATCTACCTATATTTTGTTTGTTAGACAGAAATGAAGCTTCTTACCGTTTCTTAGTACAAAGATGAAATCCTAGTGTATCCTATATTGACTAGTGTTCTTGAGAAGAGCAATCAAGTTAAATTTTACGTTGTATATTGGTGAAATGCTTTCCAGTCATAACCATTAATTGCAATGTACATTAATTAGGAAATAGATACCAAAGGGAAACTCAGGCTGACCAATAAAATGAAGATATAAGAGCCTGAATAGCTTCTGGCTTTTGCACACCATTAGTGAAATATTTTTGTGTACTTAATTTATTAACCAATTTTTGGTATGAATTGTGAGAAAAAATCATTAATATTGTGTTTTTTAAATAACTGTTCAGAAAGAGAATTTGAAATAAAGTTTTGTTTTATTTCAAAAGATGTCTTGGATTATGCTGTCGCTATTCTCAAAGCAGTCCTCACAAATTAGTTGTATGAGCATATATGATGAACAGGCACTTCTTGTTTATTAAATATTTATAGAAACACAAATATTTACAAATTACATGTACCAATGATGAGATAAGGTATAAGAATATATGTGCAACTTGTGTAGCATTATGTTCTGTTCAGTGTGATCTGTGCACAAGAATGAAACTTCCCTCCGGTCAGTGTTATGCCAAAAAGATCTATGTTTCAGAAGGTATCCACTATTGGTAAAGACTGTACATATCATTGTGTATTGCATATTACTCAAATGTAATAAATGCAAGGCCAGTATATTACACATCTTAAGCAAAATGGTTGACAGAAATGTTCAAATTAAGAGTATAAAACAGCTAATATCCACAGCTCTTTTAAATGCAGTGAACATCTATTTACAACACATGGATATTAAACTGTAACATGGAATGTAGATATGTGTAACGCAATACCAAAGCTAAGAGTACACTTTATCATATTTGTGATCCCAGTCCTGTCTTAATATTAAGTGATGTAAACCTTCATTGTGCTAATAATGATAGTAAAATTGGTTATTTATACGCAAGGTTGTGCTTATTTCTCTGTGAATTAACAATTGCAGAATTTTCACTTTAAACAGAACTAATCAATAATGTCTTCATTTGTTATCACAGGATTTGAAACAAGCTTTTGTATGACTAGTTTGCATTTACTGGAAATGCTTATAAACCTAGCTTAGAAGACTAACATTTATCAATAAATGACAAAGAATGTTAGCATTCAGCAAAAATTTGTAATCAAAATAAATTCATTAATAATATAAAATACCACTAATGCTAAGAAGGTAAAATAAAATCATTGTTGATATGTGCACATGGAGTTTTATTTTCTTATTTTTCCAGTGTACACATGCACCAGCTTCATAGAAAAACATTAGTGTAAGCACTATTTGCAAACTGTAACATTTGTTTAAAAAGTATACTTTTAAACAAAACTGCTCAGAGTAAATTGAAAAGAGTTTGAAGGAGCTCTTGATCAACTATTTTTTTTTTTCATTTTGTTTCATTTGATATGAATATTTCAATTTTGCCCAAATCCCTTGGCACATTCGAATCAGTCTCATGTCAATGACTGGAGATGTGGTAGCAAACTGATATTGCTCTTTAATGATATGTTTTGCTTTTGTTAAATAGCCCCTTTGCAACAAACTCAGAGCCAGGTACAGTTTGCAGCGTGCTACTGTCATAGGATCTCCCAGCCGAAGAGCAAGTTTCAACTGTTTGATGGAAATTTGTCCAGCAACTAAAGCCTGCAAAGATGAAATGTTTTCAATGTCATATAATAACCAAAACATTAAATGTTTTCCATGACCCAGGTTTCCATGTATAATATTTATAGTGCTTGAGAGCAAAAATCTGACTTACACAGTGGTCAAAGTGATCTCCTAAAGCTGAGAAGGCCCCTCCTAGCGTTGAGAACCATGACATTGCATGATCCAATTCCCTACGTTCCAGTGCCATTGTCAGCATTCGTTCATTCCTCAAAATAGTAAACACACTTAAGAAGATATTCTATTATAAACAAAAAGTATTTAATTTATTTACTTTGCTCTTACCAACTATAGTCAATAATTTCCTTCTTAGGAGAAGAAAGTTGAATAATAAGTTTAAGAGGATACATTGATGTACATTTATTTTGTTCTATATTTTTACATTGTAGTAAATGTGTTATCACTGCTGTCCGATAAATTTCTGATGCTTTTAAAGTATTTACAAACACTGACAATAAGTGGCCGTTCATCTGAGTTTTGTAACACTGTTTAAAATTATAACGTTCTTGTTCATATTCATAACGAGTTACGCCTTCAGAAATGAAATATGGGTTTCCAATGATTCTGGTTTTCATGCGTGTTTCATTAGAACACACATAATGAAGGCAGTCTGCGTGCGGAATCAAAGCAATTCCACTATTTCTTCGAACGTCTGTAGAGTTTTGCTCGAGAACACTACAATTTTCATAATTTGGTAAAAATTTCGACTTTGTAATATGAAATTCGTCCCAAAAATCTCTCGCGGCTAAGACAATGACTTGCACGCCTTCCATATAACTTTTTTAAATTCTCGTGTATCTTCCGAATTGTCGGCACTCACAATCTAAGGTTATGGGAACCACAATAGCATAATCGGCGTTGTCACAGGCGAAGTTACAACTACAAAGACACATAAGCATACACACACTTGCACTTTAATGTTAGCTACAATTTGTTACAAAATTGTCTTACAATCAATATTTTTTTAAAACATTTACTACATTAATTATTCGGCAATCAGACTTTCCAAATCTTTCCAATTGATAAATTCAATTGACGATCACCCCCTCTTTGCTACATTACTACCACTACCTAAACAGTAGATCTATACCACTACCAACCTCTACTATTTGTGAGAGATAAGTATGAGACATTTCTAGGAACAAATGATTTGGAGTAAACATGATGGATATTTACAATTATTAATTTATGTAATTTGTGAACAAATTAAATATATACCAGATAAATAAATCTAAAGAGAAATTTTTGTGACATTTTGATTTTTCAAACAAAAGTATTAATATACTGAGGCATGGTTTTGACGTGTAATATGAAAGTCTCATACACTACGTCACTATACTAGAATTTAAATATAGAGTCCGTTGACTATACAGCTTTTACAGTATTATCCAATTGGAAGATGAAACGTCACTACTGTAGCTGTATTTAAGCTTCCGATTGGATGATACTGTAATAGCTGCTTAAACGTCAACGGACTCTATGTTTAAATAGAAGTGTACGTACGTTCGTGGCGTTTGGGTCTCGGGAGATCCTTGCATTCGGGCGAGTGGTGGTGAACGATAAGGAAGGACAGAAGTTCAGACTTCGTCCGAGCTGTCGACTGTCGTTGCCGGCGTGCTCTTAAGTAAACAAGTTTTTGTCAGTGTCTGTCAAATCTGACATATACTGTTCACATTTCACCTGCGTGAAAGGAATGGCGTTTTTGAGAGCTGTTGTTCGACATAACGTGTCTCGTAAGCTGCGTGTTAATCTGTGTGATATTAATGGGAATTGTACTCTCGTTCGCCTTTCCCATCCAACTTCATCAGTCGTGCCCATTGCTTTAAAATCTTCTCATGCCGCGAGTGCTTTGGGATATGATACTGAACTGCAAAGAAAATCTGAAAGCCAGCATCCAAAAGACCCCTTGGACACAGCTTTTGCTGACCCGGAAGCATCATTCAAAAGTAAAACGACATGGGAAGTTATTCGAGCGTATATCGTATACACTTTATGTTCATCGGAGTACTTGGTGGAACATAATATGAAGGTAAGTTTGAGTAAGCTTTTTATATTGTAATGTCGATGTGACAGCATGTTTTGTGATCGAAAAATGGCGGGGTTTCTGTGGTTTCTAATAATGGCTGTGCCAAATCTCAAAGATTATGGGTCATGAAAAGTAATTGTTAATCAAACTGGTCTTCATTCTACAGCTTGTTGTATTGTTCCTTAACGCATGATTTCTCATATTACTGACTTCCTGTGGTTGACATGTTATTAAAATGAATTAGTTTTTATCTTTTTATTTTTAACCAGTTTGAATAATTTCTCAGTTTTAAGTTTTCTTTTGACTGGGTATTAATGCAGTAAATGTAAGTGCTGATAAAATATTTGCATGAATCTTACGCTGTGAACATACATGCTAACCAAGATGGTGTCGAATTTTGTGCTGAACGTTGCCTGTAAAACTGTTACTCTTTCTTCTGAGCAGTTTGTTGAAACTTTTCAAGTGATGGGGAAAAAAACAGCAATTCTCTCCTATTTGTCTTTGGATGTGTGAATAGGTTTCGCTTAGTTTTTCATATTGGATTATTTACAATTTTTTTTTTTTTTTTTGCTTGGATGTTTCGTTCTGCCGGCATATGGTCACCGTATGTTGCTAATAATTAGCACGAGTTGTTATTTTAAATAAATGTTGCAGTATTCTTTAATTTAATGTTTATAGCACCACTGTAGGAAAACGCAACACTCTTAAGAGTTAAAGTTATAATTGGAGTAGGATTCATTAGGCGTAATTTGACAAGTTATTCCTGGGGACATTTTTCAGATTGTTTTGAGAAATACAGATCCTAAAAATCCACACCATGTCAGCCTGTTATTGGTAAAAAATAGTATTCCTTACTGCAGGAAACATTCTACTTTACGAATCTCGCACAAAATATAAAAGCAGACTACTAGCAGAATTTTACTGTATACCGGTGTTCTGCGGACTGGAGTTTCTTCTGATTAGACAAATTACAATTTACTCCTATAGTAGTAGTAGTAGTAGTACTACTACTATCGTAGTGTCACTCGGAACCTGAGTGGAATCGGTGAAAAAGGAATTTTTTGTGATATGTAACGTGTGCTTAAGTAATAACTCTCCCCTTCTCCTAATTGATGTGTTAATGAAATTGAATCCAAAGATTCTAATTATAAATTTTGAAATTTTGAGTGACAATTGAATATTTAACGATTACAATTTATTTTGAAATGAAGAGCACTCGCCCCAATATTGTAGTCGTACCGCGGAACTTCATGTGATTGTTCAGTAGATCATTCCTTGCACACTGCTTGTCGGCTGCTGGTAGCAGACAAGAATTACATATAGTGCTTGTAACTCTGTCTCGTACACACACAGAAAAAAAATAAGCTCACAGATTCGTTGCTGAATTGAAGAACCTTGGGCATTTCTAGAAATAATGGGAGAAAGAAAAAGTTGATCACTGCTGCTAGATTAATGTTAGAATTCACGAAAGTTAAGTGCATTATTTGAATTATGTTATTAGAATTAAATAATAATTAAGACTAAAGAAGGACGTGAGCATTATATAGATAATCTTTTGTGAAAGTTTATGAAATGTGTTCACTTGTAGAATGATAAAATGAGTGTGATGTTTTTTAACGCATTCTATTTCGTTAAGGTCAAATTTATCGGAAAGGGGACATGTCAATTCAGTTAAATATTTCGTATGAAATCGTTAACAAGTCTGTGAAGCGCAACTTCTTTCTGGGCACGTTAGATGGTTTCTTTCCACGAATGTGCTTTTAAATATTAACGCGTTCGTGTCGGGGTTTTCTTTCTGTCGAGTCTTTGCTCAGCATACTCAGGTCGGGCTCGTCGCGTGCCTGTGGTCCCCCACGACTCGTCCCCTTCGTCTCATCGCCCACACGTCTCGTCGTCCCAGCGAGCGTAGGGCGCAGGCGACATCGAAAGCCCCATCCTGAAGCGCTGCGCAGGCAGCAGCTTCTCGGCGCGTCATCGATCCGGCCACCGGGCGTCGCGCCGGGCGCCGCGGATGGGGCAGACAGGCTTTCTGGGAGGGAGGGGGCGGGGCGGGCTCTGAGGGGAAGGAAGAGGGTGGCCTCCCGCGTGAATGGCCCTCGCGTGAGGATCACCCGCTCGGCGGGCGTGCGCGGCTCGCCCCCAGGACGGCGGCCAGACGAGGGTTGCCAAGGGCAGAAAGAACGTTCCCCTGTAGATTGCGTTGGTGCTCTTGCGTCGAGTTAAATGAATCGAATGATCAGTTAGTCGAGCTGAAAGCATAGGTAAGCGGGTTTATGCCTTTCCAGTAACACAACAGTTTGTGGAGCTGGATGAATTTCAGCACCCGATATAGTTTGTACGATATAAATGAACGATGCCTCACGACTCAGTTGCTGTTTTGTCACGAAAAATGAAAAACGAATTATAGATGGTGTTAAAGAAGTAATATAATAGAAAACAAATTGAACACCCGGCAATATTAGACTATATATCCAGTCTCAAAGAGAACAATTTTCTTCATTTTTTAGACCTGTGACCTGCGAACCATAGATTGTGTTCGAACACGTTAAATATATTTTTAATACTATAATTTAACTGCTGCATTCCAAGGACCAAAAATAAAAACGAAATAAAAAAAAATCCTGCTTCCGAAATGATGGCGTCTGTAGACTCGAGACGTTTGGTTGGTTGCCTAAGGGCATTCTGTCAGCCTCTTGCGTCTCGGTTAACAAGAGGGTAATAGCCCAAAATTGTAGGTTTCTTATGCCGACCGCGATCGCGGAGTATTATCGGTAATGTTGGTCTCTAGGGCAATTTCCCTCCGATCGCCGCATTCCCAGGCGCGTCCGATGTAAGGTGCTGCGGGAGCATTCATTGGTTTCTTCTATTTTCGGTACTACAGACTTTTGGAGAAGGCATTTTGACACGTAATTGATAGGTTTAAACTTGGGACATGACATCGTCGTAAAGTTGACAGAAGTCGGGGTAAATTGCACGATTTTTTTTACAATCCTTGAGTTCTTGCCTCTAGATAATATTAAGAGCTTGGTATTATTCTCATCATTTCTTAAAAAACAGCCCAAATTTTATCGTAATGCTAGGCCAACTTAATTTTCTAAGTAATACCCATTTTTTCCTCTTGAACATTTCAATTTTTCATTGAAATCTTTGTATGTAAATACTTGTCAGATCCATGGGAGTTGTGGGGATCATAACCATGAGCCCTAAAAGCACTGTTGAAAAAAATCGACGTTATTTTACTTAAAGGAAAAAAAATCATTAGAACTAGTATGTGAATGATTGTTTTGCATGAGAAAATGCTAATATTCTATCCTTATGGGTTTTGGTTCCATTAAAATTTTGTATGGCAATTACGGATGCTTCTAGAAAGTCATTACTGTGTAATATAAAATGAATATTGTTCCACTATAGTTTTATCATCAAGATTTAGAATGTATTGGAAATACCAATAAGGAGATAGGACCTTCTGGAATAATTTCTTATTAACATTGAATTATCTGATTTTTCATCCAAGTCCCCATAATCTTGCTTATTGTGTTCTGATGAACTCCTCTGGCTGAATGCCTTTGGCTCAGTTTTATTATTTTAAAGTACCCTATCTGCACTCACAAGCCCTTTCATTGCAGAAGGATGAATCCAGGCTAATGATCAGACTATCATAATTCAACATGCATAATATGTTAGTGCACTTTTTTCTTGTGGCGTCGCAAGGCCTCGAATCAGCTTCAGTACATTACTTCACATAATGGCCGACGTAGCATGAAAGTGGGTTGGAACCTCCGTCAATAATTGTAATGGCACAAATTGACTTAAAATGTATGGATAATTGGTATGGTAACTATTTTAAAATTTTCGCGTTATCATGGAAAAAGGTGGGAAACTATACGTGGAATAAAGTTTAATTACGTGTCTTTTATACTTGGTCTGAAAATAGATGGGAAGGTATTCAAATATAGAAAGTTTACACTCCTCCACCCATACCTACATACATGCTTAAATCTTGGAGACTTCGCAATACCTACCAGAGGATACAGTGAAAGAGAAAATATTTATTTTGTTGCGTGAACTTAGAGTCGGTTCAGCCACTCGGAGCTAATAATTGAGTATTGAGGTCAGCGAAACACGAGGATACTGCATTGGGTCACATGCGGTACATACGGAAGAAGGAAGTGCGGAGTTCGAAGGACAGAACTCTCGGAAAGATGTGGATTCGAAAGGGTTTCAGATTGATCCTTCAGCTTTTCGAAGAATTAACTTAACAAACGAGACAGTGTTTAGAGCCAAATGTTAGATCTCAGTAGTATTGGTTTGTTGATTAATTCACAGAATATTGAAGTGCTCATTAATATCTCTATTTCCTCCTATTTGAGATTTTCTGTAGGTTTTTATTCTTCAATTTGAGTATAATTGAATATTAGTAGAATTAATTAGCTCAGTATGTAGACATTTTCTGCAAATCTTTTGAAGTGTAATTGAAACAAGATCCAATATCGTATTATTGAAAGTAGTGGAAAATATTATATCATTTTACACGAGTCATTGTGTATCATTATGATTCCGAAATTGTGAATTGCTAGTTTATTAATTCCCTCTTAATACTAATTTATATTAAACAATCCATAACACCACTTTGAAAGAAAAAAAGTCTTCGGGCGATGGGGCTGTTCATTGAAATTTTGTTCTGTTACCCTCTACGTATTTACAAGAGGTGGTTCAAATCGAGAATTTCAAAAGAAGGGAAAATAATCCTTATTTTTAATAATGAGATAGGGTGAATCTCTAACGAGATTCAAAATTTCGTTTTCGACCAGTAAAAAAGTTTTACAACCAAACAAAAGCTCTTATCTATATTTTACAATTTAATAATTATTTTATGAAGTGTTTCGGCATGTTCTTATTAATCGAAATTTGCTATTGAATGGGTGGTTTGTCTCCTGTTGGTCCACAAGGCCCCCTAGTCGTGTTGACCTTGCATTGTCGCAGTCCAGTGCGGCGCGCGGGTCTCTCTCGCGAATTTGAGGTGCGGGCCCGGCCCGCGCACGGCCTCTGCGCGGCCCCGCGGCGGCCTTGCAGGGTTTCGTCTGGGTCGGGGAAGTGTGTTACGTCACGGCTTGGCCCAGTGCCTGTAGCGCCGCGGATTTCGATCCTTTGCTGGTGCTGCTGCCGCTGGCGATGGTGCTGGTGCTGGTGCTGCTAGCGCCGCCCAGAGCGGGCAACGACCGCTTTAGTAGGCTGCCGCCGTCCCCGCCCCCGCCCCCGCCCCCGCCTCGCCATCTCTGAGCGATCGCGTTCGCGTTCGCTCGGGCTCGCGTAGGTGGCTTTAGTGCGCCTGGCGAGTAGAAGCACCGCCGCGTGCGCGAGATTGCAGACGCGCCTGCACGGAAGCAAATTGGAATTCGTTTCCCGGTGCTGAAACGCGACGTTGACTTCGCGATGTTTAAAACATTTGAGACCCATTGTTTTTCGAAAATACGATCATAGTGATTTCATGTTGCACTTTAATATATATATATATATATATATATATATATATATATATAATATGAATACTTGCTGCTCTGCGCATCATATGATAGGGCGACCCGATGCGTAAAGTATCGATGCTGACGACTGAGTGTCCCGCGGTGCACATTCGGGCCATTCATGCGGGATTGGTGGTTGAAGCAGGTTCGCGGCAGATTTTCTCGGGGGCTTTCCTTTTTTCCTGTCTCTCACTCCACTATTGCTTAAATATTTCAATGCATGTTTCTCTAAATATTGCCGTAAGGCAGACGTGTCACAATAGAATATATGAAAACAATATCCTGAACACCTTAGAGATCATTCGTAATCAGTGTTGGTGAAAATATGTATACCGTGCTCGATTGAGAATTAGTTAAAATATTATCTTTTAGCATTTGTTCTTAATTGTATTTATTTTGATTATAATTTAAAATAGGGGCTTAATTTTCTAGATTGCTTTTATCTGTTGCACTTTTAAGATAAATGCATAAGTACTCGTGAAAATTAACGCTTGTATCTTGTGATGGTTATTTTTTTTTTCGTTTATTTATCACGGAATGAATTACATTGGAGGGTCCGTAGATAATGAACAAAAGCAGCCATGATGTCGTGATTGCCTTGTCCCCTGTGTACGTGAGAGGAATGGGCGTTTCGTCCTCGGGTGCAGCGTGCCCCAGACGCGAGCGGGCCAGGGCACCCGCTGGGCCCCCGGGCGCCTCGCTGCGGCTGGGCGGGCGGGTGGCCTTCGATGCCAAGGACACCTCGCCGGCCGGCGCGTCGGCGCCCGGGGCCCGAGGCCCGGCTTCCTCCACAAGAAGAGAGCTGGCGGATGGACCACGGTGCAGACGGCCCGGTAGCGACTCTGCTCTCTATACACTTTGTGTGCGAGAATCGCGCTCGAAAGTGACATGCTCTAGGAGGCCGCCGTGTTGGATGCAAGTTGTACGGTTTTTGAGGACGACGAATTCTAGTTCGTTAATAATTTGTTAAAACACAACCACAAAATTTTCGGTTTTGGATGAAACAAAAATCACTCACGCGCTGAGCTATTACCTAGTTTAGTATGATTTTAATTACTTCGACTCTAGGTTCATATTTTGTTTCCATTTATTTAATTTTTTAGATGTTACCGAAAACCAGTAACAAATATTGTTAATAAAATAAAATTCCAGTTAATCGCGTTACTATACTCTAATTTTCTATGTCGCTAACGATGCAGAATTGAAATACATTCATATATTTAGAAATAGGTAAATCAATATATTACTAAATTAATATTAATGTATGTCACTAATGTATTTATTTCTTACTGTAATAAGACAATTTCATATTTTCTTTATTTTTTTCTGCCCACAAAAACAGCACAAACCATTTTTAAATATGTAAATGAACATTTCTTACATGTGAAAACGCGTCATGTAAATCGATGTGCTATATTGATTTCACCGAAAATCTGCTCAATAGTGGCACTTTTTGAGAGGGCACCTTGTGAGCGGGATTGCCTATTCAAAGTAGTATTTAGAGAACAATGCAAAAGGAACCGGCTCTGCCTGAGCCTTGAAGTAGAACCTGCTTCCACTTGGGTTTTTTAAAGCTGAACCGCATAGGAAGGGAAAACCACTTAAATTTTAATTTGAAGCTGTGGCTCCTTCTCAACCACCGGGTGCTGGGAGAGGGAGTGGGGTACCATTCCCTCCGTCAATCGAAGTGGTGTATCCACGCGTTCCGCATCGGTGACAGTTGATGCGCGAGATGATTCGAGCGAGGCGATTGCGTTGCACGTATATGACGCCAGCCGCGTGGCTTCAGTTGACCAGCATAGCCCCCCCCCCAACACGTCAGCGCGTGGACGGGCGATCCGACGGAGAGGAAACAGAGTGGGAGGGGACGTTTCACCTATGCTTCGAGAGAAGAGCTCCACACTGTAGGGCGCGGTACGTTTTGAGTGCACTGTCCGTGACGGCTTTGCCGAAGGAGGAGACTACTCCTAAGTGTTTTTTTTTCTTCTAGTCCCGTTCCCCCTGGTGGCGACCAAGTTAGGAGAAGGGCGTGCTTCCTGGCTATTCATTGAAATTTCGAAGTGCCAAGTCCATAATGGGATGTTGGCTATCCATTTCAGAGAACCGAGACGTGTCTTTTAGGGAAAGACAGTATTAGTTTCAATTCTCAAAAGATTGATTTGCTTGGATGCTGATTTAGTGTAAGTCGTGGCTTTGTATAGGCTTCAGCGACGCAATTTCAATATGAATACTAATATGTTGATTTAATCACCTCCACGATGCACCCTAACGCGAGATTTGAACCCGACACGGGTCGTTGCTATCGCAGCCGTTGCGCTGTTTAGATTGGCTTTACGTGGCATTATTTTTTTCTTAACTCTGCTTTGACTGGAAAAATGAATCATCCTACGATTGAATTTGCGATCATGTGGAGAATATACGCGTATGCATTCATAATGACTTAAATAAATGTAATAAAGCACAAGTGCAAAATTGAAATTAAATTATCTCTGACATTTGCCACACGTTCTTCGCGTTTGAGGTGATTCTTTAGAAGCATGTTTACACGTAGAAGTGCGTTCTTGTGATTACTTAATGATCCGTCCACACGATGCATCGGTATGAAATCCCTAAATCGATTTAGATTGCGTAACATTTTATCGATGAAGCGATGCTCTGATGTGACCTCAGGGTCCTCTCATTCTATTATGATAGATCTTAAGAGTACCACTTCCAAGATACTGGAAGATGCAAATATATTGTGAAAGATGTAAATATTATTCTGTACTTCAAATGGAATTGATATTTATTGATCGCAAGCTGCAATAAAAGACGAAATTTGAGAGGGGAGTACTTATTAGACTTCTCGACAGGAATATTTGATGTTCGACATTTTGAAAATAGGAATAGTATCAGTTTACCTTCAGATTTTTTTCTCGTTATGACGATGTCTGGAGATATTGTGTAGCGAAAAGTTTTGTCGGACAGATAGGAGCCTAAAATGTGACTCATTTTAATCTCTATTAAACGTCTTTAAAAGTTTTTAGTTAACTAAGTTATTTAGTTTCTAAACTAAGTTATAGAAATTTGTAGGACCGCTGGTTAAAAATACTGAAAACAAGTAAAAAAAAAGATGTTTGCTTTGGCAACGTTAATTTCAAATGTTTTCAAATGAGTCAAGTTTTTGGGATCGTAATCTTTCGAACTACGTGGGAAAGCGCCGAATGGCTGTTCCGGAACAGCGTCTGGAGGCGAAGCGGTTGTGTTAAAATGCATTTGAACTTTCGAGGTCTTATTAAATCGTTTCCCATGGCCGTCGACATGGCAACGCCGGCTTGCACGTGTGTGGCACTGGCGTCCCCTTCTCTTTTTTGTAAGGGCGGAAAGGAGCGGAGTGGAGTGGAGTGTGTGGCGGGGTGGGACCCCCTCCCCTCCAAAAAAGCATCCCAAATCGTCGCGTCGCGTCGCATCGCATCCCGTCGTGTCGGTCGGCCTGCCTCGTGGCGCGTCAGATGAGGCGGTTGAAGCGGTGCCAGCGAAGCTCCGTAACGGGGCGCAGCGGAGCAGAGCGAAGTGGCGTGGTGTGGCGCACCGCACCGCACCGCACCGCTTCGCTAGGCGACGGCGCCTCGTTGCGCAAACACCTGCGCACTCGGGCTTCGAACCAAGGTTGCCCCGCGCCGAACCTGACCCCATTCCTCCGCGCGGCTTCTCGGTTAAGCGGGTCACCCCGGGCGCGAGACTCGACGTACTCTTTCCAAGCAAGGGAAGGCAAGAACGGCGTGTTGAATTCTTAATTTAAGTACTGATTGTAGTTAGATTTGAATTTCGAGCTAGAAACAGCGGCCCTTCGGTCTTCACTATAAAAAGAAACTCTACTAAAACTTGATGCAAAAAACGTTGCGTCACCAAGTTAACTCAGTTTTTACAATCTTTCATCCATCTCACGATCAACCTACAACAACCGTGGCAAATCTTCACCATAATCAAAAACGAAAATTTCAAAAAATGCTTTTGACATATTTGCTAATCTGGATCATACTTTTTGAGGTTTTTTCTTCTTAATATTTATAAAAAGAAAAAAAGCTGAGAATTTTAAAATAGGTAATAAGCATCGAAAACAATTCAAAAAAATTATAAAAACTGTGTAAAAACAAAGTAACCCAGTCATAATAATAAAAGAAAGGGGAAAATATTACTATCGTTGAACTATCATGGGAGATCTTGCTTTACGAAGAAAATAAAGCGAAGAATAGAAAAGAAAATTGTGCCTTATGACATGTTAAACTTTTTGAAAAATAGGAGTCTGTAAATATTTCTTCTATTCAGGAACATTTTCACTTTTGTGAAAAATAAGGACGATTGTTCCATTCCGAGAAGGAGCAAAATAAAAGCACGTTCTCGTATTTTTTCTACGTTGTCAATGTTAATTGGATAGTGTTCAAAATAAGTTTCATCAAAGTAAGTTTTGCATTTTCTGGAATTGTACGATTATTTCCCGCCAAAAATATCTTTAAAATATTATTTTCTTAATCTTCTTGTTCCAGAGCCTGTTGTAGCAAACGAGTGGTGTTAGATTCGAATGGCGTTTTATACACACGTATTAACATGAAGTCGTTGTTCAGAAAAAAAAAATGGAAGGCATGTTTTACAATGCGACAAAGCTCGCAAAAGTCTGTCCTTAGTGTAACTTCGCCCTTGAATTTTTTTTTTAATATTTCGACCTGGTAATTGCCAGGAAACGCGTGAACAAATGTATTGCCGAAAGTCCCCGTGCGAGGAGGGCGGGCCTCCCTGAGCGGCAACCGGTTGAAACCGCCCCGACGGCCGCGCTGTGGCGGCGCGGCGCGGAGCTGGAGCCATTGTGGCGCGGAAGTGTGCACGTGAGGGGGGGGGGCGTGGCGTGGCGAGGCGTGTGGCGGCGGAGGACTCGGGCACAGCCGCGGGCGGTGAGGCAGGCTACGCCGCCCGCCCGGAACCGGTTTCAGGACGACCGTTTCTTCTCGACGCTGCCCGGCGCGCGCGCGCGGCTTGTCTCCCGGGCCAGGCCGGCGCGGCTGCTGTGGAAGCTGCGCGTGTCACTGCACTCGGCGCCTAGTGGCACTGTGCGACCCCACTTGCCGCGAGCCATTGTGTTGTTCGATTGATAAAGGAGTGTGCGTTTGGCGAAATACGTGGAGGTTTCTCGACTCACCAAAGAGAACGCTCGGCAGTCAGGGAGGCGCTGCAATCGGCGGCTATGTTATTTTAATCCGAATGTATTCTTCACCTGGGATCAATAAATGCGTGTTGTGCTGAATGACAAAGGTCGTTGCAAGTCTAAGACCTTTTGTAGAGTGCGTTTGAATTGTTACTATTAACTTTCGCCACAACGGGCCGATTATTTTAATGTTGCCGAAATATCGCTTCGATGCCCTTTGCATCTGCTTTTCTATTAGTGAAATATCAAACTATTAATGGGAAAGTTGTTAACATTTATAGTTTAATAATTGTCATCAAGGCTGATATTATTTAACCCCGTTCGCCATCATATCAGCGGTTAACACCAAGCATTTATCGAAGTGAATTCAAAGCAAATTTACTTTCGTACTCGAGTGAAACTCCAATGTTTAAATTGCTGCAAGTTACTTTAACGTCAAGAAATTACAAATGGCCTAGGCCCAGTTATACCGTGCTTAAACCCAGATACCGGCCAACCTCACACATGGTCCCCCAGAAATAGTCGGGCAGCTGTGAGCACTCCTGTGCGAACTGCGCATGCGTAAACTCATTTGGCCAAAACCTTAGCATTGTCTCCATGGCACAGGTGGACGGTCCCATGTAACAGTAAGAAATAAAAACTTAGCACGGCTCTACTGTTTCTTTGCGTTCTTCAACGTCATCTTGAGGTCCGCGCGTTTCAAACGGTAAAATTGTTAAACTATTACGGGAAACAAAACTGTAAATCATACTTCGATGGCGCCCCCACGTTAAATGAATGAATGAAATGCCTATTAGATTTCGATTAGCATGTTCATCTTATCTAAATGACCACTGTCGTTTTGCAGCCGATGGGCTAGCCCATCGGACCCGACGGAGTTCCGCGAAACGGCTAGCACGCGCATTATCAGTGATCAGGTCCTGATGTCTCTGACCAACCTATGCCCACATGAGCTTCCCCACCGAACAGCCCCCACCCCACTTCTAATGCGTTCTGTTGGATCCTCTCACCACTACCATATAGCGCAACCAATAGCCTAGATTCGAGATTGTTAAGCGTTATTTTGCATTGTCGAATATGCAAATTCAAATATCTCGCACTTCTTTTGTAGAAATAATTCGAGTTTTTATGTTGAAATGCAACAAAGGAACGCCGCCTCCTCAGTTTGATATTCTCGGAATAACTTCTCATTGTTATGATGTTTCTGGGTGTATGAGGTTTTGTATTATCTAAAATGTGTTGATGCTTGACCTTCAAATGTATTATTTTTTGCACCTAATGCGCTACGATTGGTATAATCAAATGAATAAAGTTTAGAAATGATGGTCGACATGTTAATATGGATAGAAATTGTTGTTGAATTTACGTAAATGTTACATAAAAAGTACGTTCCGTTGTAGAATCACTATTGACTTCTACATACAGTCAGTACACCATTGATAAATATATTTGTTTCCGCTGCATCTCTAAAGAAGCGCGCTTGATATCTGCAGGGTGGTTGAATAACTCAAGTGGAAATGAAAATAAGTTTCTAGTAACAAACATGTTTATAAACAAACATGTCATGAATATTTGACATGAATATTATGATTTGTTCTACAGCTTCATGTAGAGGAGGTACAACAGAATAAACTGCATATAAACCTTCTGGGGGTGAAAAAACATGTAGATGTACCAACTCTCGCGGAGATCGGTCAGACAGCCGATACTCTTAACATACATATGACGATTGTAGCTTCTATGGTATAATTAAATATGTAAAACAAGAATCACGAATGAAGTCAGTTTCTGATTCGGAAAATACCCTAAATCACGGAAGAGGCATGCACGGGTTGTCACCTTTGAGAATTGTGGTTAAAATTCAGATCACCGAAAATTGAGATATGGGAGATCTCCAATTGTTGCCTCACTCCACCACTTCATCTTATTACTCGCCAGTTACAGAATAATCATCATATCATTGCGTTTTAATGCGCGTGCTTTGGCCTGGAGACGGATTGATATAGTCCTAGAACAACCGTCCAACCGTTTACAAACTAGCGATTAAAGATATAGTTGCGGACCGCAGCCTGGTTACGTTCGCATATATATGAAGTTGGGTCACCGTATGAGAAGCTTTGTATACCGGGAGTAGTAGGTTTGAATCCTCTGGTGGTGGATTTTTGACATCTGAGTTGCTGAATAACTAGATCGAACGATGCCTGAATAAGAGTTCCAGAGACTGATCTAAACGGTTGTTTCCGTGATTTTCTCCAATCAATTCCGGGTGGGTACCGGAGCAGGAACTGCAACAAGTGACCTCGAATTGACGGCGATCTTCCTTTCCAATTCTATACCCAATCCCCTTCTCCCGTGAGTTAGAAAGAATGTTACGGTTCTTCTAACTCGTTGATGTGCTGTTTTGTGGTCCCTAGTGTGGATATTCTTCGAAGGGCAAAGAAGAAAATAAAAAAAAATCTGGCGATGCGGGACTTATCTCGCGATGCGTAGGCAAAGCATTCCGTTCCATATCTCTTCCTTCCCTCTGACTTCCCGTCAGCCACTTCGCGAGTAGGTGGGCGTGCGCGGGAGCTATTGCGATGATCAGTCGACGCGACGCACAAATGATTTCCGATTGGCGTCTGGAACAATTATGTTCCAAGAACATATACTGTCGCAGTTAGGCGGGGCATTTGTTGAACTATCGAAAGGTACGATTATTAATCAAAATTTGGGGACGCGGAGGAGAAGCTTTCCACGTAGCTCACCTATCGAACTTACATCATTTTAAAAATATCAGTTTTAAAAATATCAACATTGCATCAAAACTGAAACGTGATTTTTTTGTAGCTTCGGACGGGTTACAGCTGGGGGTCTGGCAGCGGCCGATCATTTCGGGCTCGACTATCAGTCAAACTTTGATGGCATGCGCAGCGATAAGTTTGTTTTCTTCGCGGCTCAGCTGCAGAACCGGGCTGGGAAGAGCCCGGTGCACGTCCCCGAGCGGCGGATCTCCGCTGACGGCTCGCCCTGCCGAGCACGACGCCCAGGCTGCGGTTTCCGCTGACTGGTCCCGACGCGCACCCAGCCGAGTTAGCCTTGCGAGCTCCGGAAGCAGAATCTGGAGCACTGGTTCCCAGCCGGACCGGCACGGACGCCTACCCGCGGCTTCCATCTGCATGGTCTCCAAGTGTCCTGTGGGGATAGAGCGAAGCTCGGGGCTCTGGGCGTACATCCCAGTACTCACATTGCTGTCTAGAATTAAGGCCCCGTGCATTCGCTACAACTCCAAAATCTTCAAACGGAAGCCGTTAATTCGGATGTGAGAGATTATGGAGAATGGTAAACAGCCCTGCTTTAACGAAGGCTGTAAATAGTAATGGAGAATGAAATATCAAACATTGATCGTGCCCCATTGTTTAAGAAAATCTTCGTCGAGTTGATCGGAGGGAAACTCGACCACAACGTCGCTAAAATTAGCCAGAGTCGTTTTCCAAACCAACTACTTACATGTCAAATTCGCCCCCGACTGAATCTGAACCTTAGCAGATTCGCAACTGCCAACACTGATGTGTCTGGCAAGAACGTTTTTAACCTATTTTAAGCTATCCACGCAAATAAATTGTGAAGCTTGTGTAGATCTTAGTTCTAAAATATAATCCGGTAGTTTATTTTAGTCTCTAAAAATTTCTGCAAGAAAGCTGAGAAGCAACGATACTGACAAATTTCGTATCACCTGTTACTAATATTCGAATATTGTATCGTCATGTGGATATTGTAGAGTCGTAAGTTCAAAAAGGGGAAAGAGGATGTTTCGATAGCTCACTCAATCTAGAATACTGACACTCGCCTAAAATGATCGAAGATACATCCTCTGTGACGTCAAAAACCGTTGGAGAATTTCTCTGGAAGTTCGTGGAAAATATCCAGAAAATTAGATATAATGATCCTAGCTTCCGAATACCGTTTTTGCTTGACCGATCGGAAATACGCAGCTGACAAATTATATGATAGTGTAAATTTGAAGCATTCGATTAAGGAGGTCGTTTATTGACCATTAAACCATAATTGGTTTTTAAAAACGTGCTGGGATGTCCACGATCATGCTACATAAATTTAACCTGGAGACATACATTATACAGTACAGCATATTTATAAGTATATAAATAAATAAAATATTGTGTAGGGATACACATATCGGTAAGATCAGAGCTCGTGGACGCGCGTTGAAAGAGCAGGATTAAGTTCTGTGTGCGAAGACCCGTTGAAGACGTGTTATTATCCAATAGCCTCTTAAATGAACTGTAATTCGCTTCGCCAAACATGTCATTAGACACTGTACACAATTATTCCTCTGAAGAGGAGCAGGTTTCGCGTGTTCGCATGCAATTAGAAGTGCACACACGCCTCTTATCATCACCTATTACACAGCCTGTCTCCTTCCCTCCGCCCTATTTCGTCTTGTCAGGTCCTGGCGGGTTGCATACCCTTCATTTTGGACCGGCGCAAGCGACCTTGACATCGGCGAACGAAATGAGGATGTGCACGATCGCGCCACTTGGACCTTGCTACTCTGCGTGGGGAACCCATGCAGTATTGCTCTTCCTCTGTCTGTCACATTTCCTTTATATCGTAATAATCGCGCGAGGGCGCATGTGAAGCTTAAACGGGTTAAATTCTCTGCGAAATTTAGCGGCAGTGCAGTCAAGCATCGAAGGGGGACACCAGCTTTACCTAGCTGTCTCTGGATGTGGAAGCATGTTAGCATATACACATAAAAATCGATAAATCACAAACGTAATGTTCTTAAAGAGGATGTTCAGCAATTCAGATACGCGATTAAATGGCGTGATTTCGACCGACATATGGGTACTTCCCCCTACCGTGGGATTCTATGGGATCTACCCATCAGTGTAGTGAAACCTCTGTTAGGCAGTCATTGTTAGTTCCAGGAAGAAATGGTTGTATAGAGGGGATGTCGCGTATGGGGGATTTTCCAATACAAAAATATTTACGAAACGGAAAAGATAAATGTGAAACAATAAATGAACTTCTAATGTTTGCCAAGATAA